AGTGTTTCCCTCGGACAACCAGCATCTGCAGCGATGCTGCCTTCTCACAAGGAAGGAAGGGGTTAGAAAAGGTTGACCCTGAAAATGTCACACCTCACCTTACCCCACGGATTTCGGTCTCCGGCGGTAAGGCCGTTTGAAGAACGGAGCTAACACATTAAAAAACTCCCACAAAAAGGCCGTGTGCGACCGGCCTCAAGCAGTTATCCCTCGGTCTCCACGGTCACGCTCCTAGGTCGTTAAGACCAACACTAATCCGATTTCCTTTTCAGGTTCCTCAAGAAATACCCTTCCACGGTGTGAGCAGCCAGGAAGTGACATTAACCCTCATACCCGTAACAGCACACGAGACCAAGTTGGTCACATTCAAGTCCTTCCTACACCTCTTAATGACTCTCTTGTCTCCACGACTAACCCTTCTCACGTCCCTTTATCACCTCGCCCCGCTAGTGCAAACGATTCAGGTACGCGGAACGTTATTCCTGGTCTCCTGAAACCACGCTGTAAACTGCACGTAGGAGCTTCCATCGTCCGAACGCTGTGCCAAATAAGACAACAGGCTTCCTTAGCTAGGACTTAAGAATCTCTCTCCATCAATGTGTGCTGCGCCTCGGAAACGCGCACACAGGATCCTAGTAGTGTCATTCATTTGACCGCACCATGTCAAAGTAACGAACCAACTCGATTTATGCTTCGTGTATCTGGAAGCCCTGATGCTGCTTCCCGTGGCCTCGCTGGCGTAGGTGTAGCATTAAGTCCTAGGGCAGAACTAGCTCTCTTAGACTGGATCCCAGTAGACAGTCGTTGACGTCCTTTTAGAGATTACACTTTCCTCATCTAAATTTCCAGGAGTTGAACTTCTACCGGGAGATCCACTTGTTGACTTAGAATATGCCGATGACATAGTTCTATTTGGTGAAGACGCTGACTAAATGCAGAATCTACTGACCACTCTAAGCAACAATGCAAGCATGTTCGGCATGCGATTTTCTCCCTCGAAATGCAAAATGCTGCTTCAGGATTGGGTTGCATCGACACCCGAACTAGTGATAGGGAGTGAAGTAGTTGAGCGTGTCGACCGCTTCACTTATATCGGAAGTCTCATCAGCCCTTGTGGTTTGGTGTGTGACGAAATCTCAGCACGGATACAAAAGGCTCGACTAGCTCTTGCCAACTTGCGTCATCTGTGGCGTAGGCGAGATATCCGTCTATCAACCAAAGGACGTGTTTACTGCGCAGCAGTTCGTTTCGTCCTACTTTGTGGCAGTGAAACATGGCCTGTAAGAGTAGAGGATATATTCGTAGGTTACTAGTATTTGATTATAGGTGTCCTCGTAGCATTGTTCGTATATCATGGGACCATCGAGTAAATAATGTAGTTGTTAGGAAACGGGTACTAGGTAAGGATGGCAAATCAATTGAGGAAGTAGTGAAACTTAATCAGTTGAGATGGCTGGGACATGTGTTACGTATGCCCGACGTGCGGTGTTTTACGGCGTAGGAGTAGGTTGGAAGAAAGTTAGGGGCGGCCAGACCAAAACATGGCACAAATCCATGAAGTCACTGACAAGTGGACTGAGTCATGTTGGTAGGTGTAGACTACCTGGTTGGGGACCGCGAGACGATAGTAACCGATGGTTAGAGACCTTGAATGACATGGCTCAAAATCGTTTGCAATGGCGCAGGTGCATCCACTCTTTGTGTTCTGTCAAACTCTAATCTTCTGAATTCTTCATGTCCTTTATTTTCTTTCCCAATTTATTCCACTGGACTATACTCCTCTAATAACATCATCAAACCTTCATGTCCCCTATCTCTATTTATACTTTCAGTACCTCTACCACTATGGGATTTGAATCGATAACTGAATCTCTGTGCTAATGTGGTATGGCAGCTCAAAATGATGTACGTACGTACGAAGTTCCACGTTGTTACTGACTGACTGACCTTGACGCAGTGGTGACCTAGGTGTGCTCCCGACATTACTGGGATGTAACGGCGGTAAGGTATTTCTCTCGAGTGCCCAAGATCTGCAACAATGCTGCCTTCTAACAACAAAAGGAAAAGGTTTAGAAAGATCAGCTCTAAAGGTGTCACACCTCACCCCACCCCACGGATTTCTGTCTTTGGTGGTAAGGTCTTTTGAAGCATCGAGCTAACTCATGTAAAACTTCTCACAGAAAGTCTATATGCGGTCAACCACAAACCATCAATCAGTCGCAATGTAGAACCTCGTGCGTAAATACATCGGTTCATGTTGTTATACTCCATTAGCACAGCAAGATGAAATAGTCAGGGCGAATCCCAGGACAGTAGAGGTTGTAACGGTACTAGTGGTAATAGAAATGATTAGGCACCAAAGTTCCGATTAAATAAAATATAAATGAGTGAATTATGATAAATTCAGAAGCTTAGAATCCTGGGGAAGGTCAAAATAAATGTACCTGCGCCATTACAAACGATTTTGAGCCATGTTATTTAAAGTCTCTAATCACTGGTTACAATAATAGAGCGGTCTCCGATCAGGCAGTTTACACCTGCTAACATAGCTCAATCCAGTTATCAGTGAGTATGTGAAATGGTGCCATGTTTTGGCTTGCCACTCCTAGCTTTATTCCAGCCTACTCCCATGCCAGAAAACATCGCTTGCCGAGGTAGGTGGTGTACGGATATAAGTGACCTATACAAACCACCTCATTTAATAAAAATCTACTTCCTGATCAATTGGCTTGTCACCTTTACCTACTGTATTCTATTCCTAACCCAAGCATTGCTTAATTGGTGGTCCCAAAATGCACGAGCGATGGTTCGAAGACACCTATGGTGGAATACTAGTAACCCAGTGATATCTGCTCTTAGTGGCTATGCTTCACACCCATAAAGTAGAACGGACTATCTTTAACTACCTGCTTGGGTGTTTAATTTTGTTACGATTTCTGCTTCTGAGTTTTTTTGTGTTTTGCAGCAGAAGAGAAATCTTTTTGTAAAACTCGTCCTTTCACTTGAATTGCAGTCATTGAGAGCGTGAGCAGATAAGACGATGAGGCAACGGCGTGTGTCCCTATCTCTCCGTGTTCTTATTTCCCCGTTTAGTCGGACAGTGGTACAAGCGATTGTCTAATGAAATGCAGTCTATGAGAGCCTGTTCCGCTTTTGAACTTCGTGCTATACCTATAACAGTGAGGTCACGAGGGGTAGTAGTAGAAGTCCCCAGATACTTGGAGGGCAAATCGTCCCGTTTCTCTGTATTGACTGTCCAAGGTCAAGTGAATGACCACACCTTGATATAGGGCACAGATTGACGATGCTGGATACTGCAATCTTATACTAGCTACTTAGGATTTTGGCTTGTTTGACATACGGTCCGAATGTTGAGTCTTGTCAAGAGACCAGGAGTAACATTTTATGAACTCAGATAGTTAGCATAGTTGGTGCATGGGATAAAGTCATGTATGAAGGGTTCTTGGTGGGGGTTGAAAAAACCTCAACCGGCGAAGAGACTTGGTAGTGGACAAGAGGATCTCTAATGCTTTTACAGGTATAAGGGCAGTTGTCACTTGAGATTCAATGTCATCTTATTCATTCACAGTACATACTATGGTTTTATGTTCATCGTGTACAATCCCTTGCTATCATTGATTCACGTCTTGATTTTCTATTTTTGTTTCAGAATACTATAGACATAACTGAGTCGAAATAATATTAATTCGACAGAAAAATCTTATTATTCACCAAACTGACATTTGTAAATATACATAAAGGTTTCTTTACTGTAAAAATTCATTTTGTTTTAATAAAGATTGTAATTGGTAATACGCTTGTCTTTTCAATGGGGCTATCTCAGTATTAACCCGAAATTTTATCCGTTATGTCTCGATGTTAGGAGCTTGGGTCTGTGTTTAAATATGTTATTAGTTTTATAAATAATTTGAGTGCATGCGTATAAAGTAAGATAACTGTTTGATTTATATTTATGTTGAAATTAATCATATTTGTTTGATGTTAGGCATCGTCATGGTTTAAGCCAGAGATCGTCATTCCCTACAAGATGACAGGTATACCTTGCTGACGAGTGTTCAATTGCACAGAGCCTAGGTCCAGGGTACCCTATCAACTACCTCCAACCACCACCTTACATCTCAGCATAGTGCGCAGGATGTCGAGTCACCTAGACTAGTGGGCACATCGCTACTTAATCGATAGAACTCGGTCCGCACTAAGGGTCTGACATACATGACGTTGGTCACTACCCAGCCAGTTGTAAATACACGTCAGTCCTGCAGCTCAGTTGCGGTTCGAACAGCTCAGTGGTAATGCTTCTGACTCCTAACCACCATCTTACATTGGTAGTTATAGCATTCCAAGTAACAGTGATGTTTACACCACCGAGCCCCCAAATGCCCCAGTACGGCCGAGAGTAGGGAGAGCTCGCTCTTCCTCTCGAAATGCTCTCACATGGCCACGCGCATATAGGTTGTGCCAGGGAGGTCCTACTCACTGCCTTTTGGCGAGGGTGTTTTCCACGAAATTGAGAGAACGAAAAGCGAATGCCCGGCGCTTTAACCGGGCCGGTAAACACGGTGAGTCCACCTAGGGGAGTTGGGAAACCCTGATTCTAAACCAATGATGCACATGGGCTCCAGTATCCTGAGAGAACAAATGGCGTATGAACCAATTATTGGTCAGCGGCTACTATGGGACTGCATCTTCTTACGGTGCTTCACTGCCTTGTGGATCAGACCTTTAGGTTGGAGGCTCCGGGTGTGGGGCCCCATAAGGGAACCACCTGATTCGGTATGGCACACGGGCAGTATCGTGGCCTACTCACAAATCAAGTGGCTTATTTGTGTGGCGCATATGTATTCGGTGTTCCTTTGTACCAATATTTATGTGTTCAAATAAATAAAACCACCGAACAGTTAATCTGCGGCTGATAGACGCACAAGTTTCTTTTGTAGTAGATTAGTGGGTGAATATTCTCCACCCAAGATTATTAAACAAGAATACGCTTCACATAAACTAACTGTTTACACTAAGCTCCATAGTCTTAATAGTTAGGGTGATATCTGCTGGACATAAAGCAGGGGTTCCTCTTAGTTTTGATTTCAAATGTCTTACATATTGTTCAGCGGTCGGTTCTTTTTTGTCTCGTAAATTTAAAAAGTAGCTACCAAATCCAGACAACTGATTACCATTCATATCTAAGTATCAACCACTTAGTTTTGTATTAAATATACCATCTGAAAGGTGAAAGTAATGTGACAATAGATTAATACGTTTGAAATTTGGATTCATGACCTATCAGATTCTGGCATTTACTGTTGTAGAAAATATTCGATTATACTGAATTGATTCGCATGTAGAATTCAGAAATAAACGTTTCTATTGTATAATATTAATCTGTTTATTTAGCTATCAGAGGAGAAAATTAAAGTAATTCTACGTGCTGGAACCCAAAAACCATGTGAACACGATCGGGTCATTGTCGACATCTCACTTGTTGTTGATACCAAAGTGATCTTTCAGAACCAGAATATTACTTTTGATGTGGGGCATGCAGAGGATTTTGGAGTTATGAAAGTTGTCGATAATATAGTCCAAGACATGGGCTGTGGGGAACAGTGTGAAGTAACTCTTACATCTGACTACACCTTCACAGATTTGGAGAAGGAATTTTTGAAAATCGATGATGCATGTTTTCACAAAATATTGTTTAACATATATCTCCAAGATGTCAAAAAGGTAGGTCGACAAAATGATATTCACTCAAACATCCGTAGCTTGCCGAGTTTTGGCAAATGTCTGAAAGTGAAAAGTTTATTGTTGCTGATGTGATGAAATGTCGTGGTAATAAACTTCTAAATGTAAGTACTTTTTAATGCTGTAAACTAACCTCGAAATCTAGTGGTTACGTCTTTACAAAATGATTCCATGCCTTAGTTTAGCCGCTCCTAGCTTGCTCCCAACTGATTTCTACGCCAGCCATCATAGCTCGTCTAGGTGGTTGGTGGGTGGACATACGTAATACGTTATAAATAAATAATATCCCAATGAGTAGAAAAATTAGATTTTCTGACGTTTCGTGACTTAGTGTAAGTCACTTCTTCAGCGAATACGTAATACGTGTCCTAATCACCTCAATCGATAAAGATATACTATGTCGACAATTGATTTACCATCCTTAACTAGTGCTCTGCATTTAACCTCACAATTAGTAACTCGTTGATCCCAAAAAATATACGAGCAGTGATGCGAGGAGACTTGTGGTCGAATACTAGTGACCTACGAATATCTTCTATTTTTAAAGGCCACCTTTCATAGACATAAAGTGGTACGGAATTAACCGATGCACAGTATAGTCGTTTCTTATTTTGCAAATGGATAAATCACATCACAAGTGATGTTAGTTGAAGAACACCAACTGGGCTCTTTGAATTCATGCAGAGATTTCGTCAAACATCAACCTGTGAAGGGTGATGAGGCTTCCGAGATAATTAAAGTGATAGACGCACTGAACTTCTTCCTGTTGTCAGTTCACGTGTTGGCACAGATCAATACTATGCACCATTCTATGTTTAGAGAGACTTAAAATCGAAGAGTACGTCTCGAAAGCGGATGAATTCGATATACAGGAAGTATAAAATAATATTTAATCTCGCCACAGTGATCAATCCAGAGCCATATCGCCCAAGGCTTTCAATTACTGATTGGGGTCATCCCAAAAACCTAACCCAGTTAGTCTCCACTTGCCAACACGACTCAACCTAATAACTTCATGGATTGGTACCGTGTCTTGGTTTGATCATCCCTAGTCTTTTTCTAAACATTTCTGCTTCTGCCAAATTTGTAGGATATCTGGATCGTTTGCCTATTTCAGTCATTTGGTTTGTACGTTGTGATTCGTTATCATTCAAGATGTGTTATTATGTTTGTAGAATATCAAATACAGTTTTTCTTTCATATGATTCTAAATGTCTTGTTGTTTTATTCACGCACCCAGGAGGAATTTTCTTTACCTTTATTGCTCAGATTTCTGATTCATTTTGCGAATTTGGTGATGTGGTTATTTGTTTGTAGTAATAAACTATACCCGATCGCCGTTTAGTTGAATCTTTGAACCGTTAGAGTTTTTTGTTTCTTAAAGTCTCATATACACTGAGACATACATCCACACAGTTTTTGTGCTTATTTTAAGAGCTTTCTACCTTGGATCTAACTACCTGTCTTGAGGTCTTGTGCTGTTTAAAAGGTTTTTGAGTTGATAACACAGTCATATTTGCAACAGATGATTTACTTCAAGAAAAACAATGAAAAATGGCTATAATTGTGATACGTCACTTAACTTGTCAGAATAATGATTATCATCATTATTAAACCAGTAACCTTACGTACTGACATACATTGTTCAGCTGTAGGAATGCTGTCCTTGCCTTGCCGATCCTCGCCTTCACATCTGCATCCGATTCTCCTTGTTCATCGATGATGCTGTCCAGGTAAGTGAAAGTTTCCACCTCTTCCAGAGTTTCTCCATCAAGTGTGACTGGATTGGTGTTCTCTGTGCTGTATTCGAGGATCTTGGTTTTTCCCTTGTTTATGTTAAGGCTGTTGCTACACTAGTTTTCTTAGCCTGCATTTGTTCATGTGTGTGAGATGGAAGAGATAGATCATCTTCGAAGTCAAAATCTAATTGATTCTCAGATGTCCATTGTATTCCGTGCTTTAACTCAGATGTCAGGGTCTTCATAAACCAGTCGACCGCCAGAAGAAAGAGAATTGGAGAGAGTAAGCAGCCTTGTCTGACTCCGGTCCTTACTTGGAATGCAGCTGTCCTCCATGCACGACTTTGCAGTGTAGTCCGTAGTATGAATTCCTGATGATATTGACGATTTTTTTCAGATGCACCATAGTGTCGAAAAAGTTTCCATGAAGTTCTCCTATCCACACTGTTTAACGCTTTCTCAAAGCCAATGAAGTTCGTGTAAAGTGACGGGTTCCATCCAATTGATTGTTCAACGATGATCCGTAGTGTCGCAGTTTGGTCTGTGCACAACCGATCTTTACGGAATCCAGCCTGTTGATCTAGAAGTTGGGCGTCTACTGAATCTTTCATCGGTTCAGCAACACTCTGTTGAAAACATTTCCCAGTACTGATAGTAGTGTGATGCCTCTGTAGTTTTCACATTTTCTCAGATCTCCTTTCTTTGGAATCTTGATGAGGTATACTTCTTTCCAGTCCATCGGCACTTGTTACTCCTCCCAAATCTTCTTGAATAGAAGGTGACGCATGTTTGCAGTTACTTCGATGTCTGACTTTAGTGCTTCAGCTGGTATTTTGTCAGGTTCTGCTACTTTCCCAATCTCAATTTGTCTGACGGCCATCCTGATTTCTTCGATCATTAATGCTACCGATAGTTGTTGCTAAATTGACGTGGTGGTCGGGCTTTCCTATCGTGATGAAGCAACCAAACTACACTGGCTGGAACAACCGTTCCTCAAGGTCCTACCATGCCAGACAGGTCGGTTGAAGATCGGTTAGTCTAAAAGCAACAAACCAAAGGTCCGAAGGCGAAGTCGTACTGCTGATTGTACAGAGGTGTGACAGCAGTAAGGTGTTTCCTTCAGACAACCAGCATCTGCGGCGATGCTGCCTTCCCACAAGGAGGAGTGGGGTTAGAAAAGGTCGACCCTAGAAATGCACATCTCGCCTTATCCCACGGATATCCGTCTCCGGCGGTAAGGTCTCAACAAGTATGGAGCTAACACAAAAATTACTCATAAAAAGGTCGTGTGTGACCGACCTCAAGCAGCTGTCCCTTGGGCACTGCGGTCACGCTCTCAAGTCACTATGACCACCTCTAATCCAATCTCCTTTTCAGGTACCTCCAGAAGAACCCTTCCACGGTGTGGGCAACCGGGAAGCGATAACCGCCCTCACACCTCTAACAGTACTCAAGACCACTGTATTCATAATCAACCTCCCTCTTCAATTCCTATTATTCCTCCTACATCGACTTTATACACTAAGCTTCCTCTTTTGGTTTCCTCCTCAAGTGTCACCATAGCCAACAATTCTAGTGCGCAAAACACTGTCCCAGGTCTACTGAAACCTCGCTCCGAACTACACATTGTAGCCTTCAACGTACGCACACTATGTCAAATCGGTCAGCAGGCTTCCTTGGCTAAAACCCTAGAATCTCGTACCATTGATGTATGCTGTGTCTCCGAAATACGCATACAGGATCCTAGTGTGGTCATTCACTTGACCTCACCTCGGCAAAACGGAGAGCCGACGAGATACACCCTCCTTGTATCTGGCTACCCGATGGCTAGTTCTCGTGTACTGGCAGGTGTAGGCATAGCACTATGCATGAGGGCGGAACAAGCGCTATTAGAGTGGATCCCCGTTAACAGTCGTCTATGCGCTGTTCGGCTAGACAGCTCCGTAAGAACTCGGAAGGATAGGGACACACGTCGTTGCCTTTTTGTCGTTTATGCCTACGTTCCCACTGACTGCAGCTCGGATGAAGTGAAAGATGAATTTTACAGAAAACTCTCTGAACTTCTTCAGAAAGCTAAACGTTCAGACATAGTACTCATAGCAGGTGACTTTAATGCCCAAGTAGGCAGCTTAAACCAAACAGAAAGGCATTTAGGTGGGTGATCATCTTCTGCAACTGTGCTCAGACAACCGTTTATTTTTAGCAAACACAAATTTTAAGCATAAGGAGAGAAACCGTTTGACATGGAGACCCCCTGCACCAAATCAACGATAGACTCAAATAGACTATATCGCCATCAGTCATCGTTGAAGAGGGTCAATAGAAGGTTGTCGCTCATTCTGGAGTACCTGCCTTGACTCCGACCATGCCCTAATACGAGCACGCATCTACGTGCGCCTCACTGGACGCAAAAAAGCCACATTAGAAAGACCCATTAGAACTGAACTGAGTAACGAGAAAAGCGAAAGTAGGTTCCAGGAACAACTGAGGTCACACTTAGGTAGTTCTGAAAACGAGGCTGACCCAGATGTTGCTTGGAAAGCTATACAATCAGCTGTGGAAACAACAGTGACATCTATTAGTGATTTAAACCAAAGGATTAGAAAGAACCAACGGATTTCTTCAAGGTCTATTGCACTGATGGATTCTCGTAAACTCATCCCATCAGGCTCTGAACACGATGATGAGCGAAAGCAAATCAGATCTAGGTTAACCAGAATTCTAAGCAACGACCGTGAGTAGTGGTGGGCAACGAAAGCAAAAGAGATGGAAAAGGCGGTGCCTATAGGGAACACAAGACAACTCTACAGACTAATAAAAGAGACTGGAATTAATAAGTCAAGTGTAAGTCAGACTATCTCGAAAAAAGACAACACTCATCTGCTCCCAATCCAGACGTTTAGAACGATGGGCCGAACATTTTAAGGAGCAGTTCAACTGACCTTTAGCTACTCTACAACTACCCACCATTCCCAGACAGTGTGAATGGAACATTGAAATAGGTCTTCCAATTCTATCTGAAGTTCAAAAGGCTATAGTTAGTCTGAGACAAAGAAGGGCAGCTGGTCCAATTTTAGCGATTAGGTTGACTAATATTTTAGCTAAAATCTGGGAGTTGGACATAATCCCCTCTGACTGGTCACAATCACTTATCGTCCCAATATATAAGAAAGGGTCAAAATCATCCTGTGATAACCGTAGAGAGATTAATTGAACTAACATGGCATCTAAAATACTAGCCTCAATAATTATCAGATGCCTAACTAAGACTCGTGAACTGCGAACACGAGAAAATCAGGATGGCTTTAGACCTTGTCGTAGCTGCATCGACCACATATTGACCATTCGTCAGTTTCTAGAACACAGGCATACTTATCGGCTTCCGACAATCGTGGTCTTTCTTGACTTAATAGCAGCATTTGACTCTGTAGACCGAGAGGTTCTGTGACCGTGACTGTCATTGAAAGGCACACCTCAGAAGTACATAAACCTTGTGAAGGCTCTTTACTCGAACACTACTAGTCGATTCAGAACTTATGGCGAACTGTCATCTGCTTTTGTAACCTCAAGTGGTGTCCGCCAAGGCTGTCCACTTTCTCCATTTTCGTAACCAATGGTTGGAGACTCTTGGTGACATGGCTCAGAATCGATCACAATGGCGCTTCATATCTTTCTTTCCACGTACTATATCCTTATATGCAGTCTTTCTTTTATATATTACCACCAGTGAATTAACACTACTTCTATGAATCCGGTGTTCATCTTGTTGTGCTAATGCGGTATGGCATGTTGGACCAATGCACATATGTGCCTGGTCCTACGTTGCAGCTGACTGATCATTAATGGAGTGACATCCATGGGAAAGTCTGTGTGTGCTGCTTCGATGTCCGGTGTATTCAATGGAGCTGGTCTATTCAACAGTTCCTCGAAGTATTTGTTTGTTTAGTTGTCCACTTCTTTAACTTCAGTTTTAAATTAGTCACAACTAGGTGGTGATCTGGTTCTCACATCTATTGTCCTGGTGAACTTTTACTGATGCAAATATGATCTTTCCAGTTCACCGTGGTGTGATCTGGTGAGACCCATGTAGCTTTGTGTATACGTTGACGTGAGAATATTGTGCCGCTTATAACCAATTTGTTGAGTGCACATCAATTTGCGAATCTCTCCTCATTTTCGTTTCTCTCTCCCAGTCCATGTCGTTCTATGATATCTTCATACCCGGTGTTTTCCATTCCGACTTTGGCGTTTAAGCATCCCAATACATTATCAGATCGTTTTCTGAGCACTTCGCTATGATTGATTGTAGCCTCTTTTAAAACTGATCTTTATCGTCGTCGTTGCCATCATTGGTGGGTGCATAACATTGGATAACATTCACTGTGATTCTTGTCTTTCTTCTTTTGAAGGATGGTTTGATGACTGGATCCGTGAGATTTCTGTAGTGTCGGTTATTTTGCTAAGCCCATATACCTTATTCTAGCTTTCGGACAGGCCAATCTATTCATTCCACTTGAGTCATATTTTGACCTTGTCAATTATTCGCTTCTGAATCTTCACTTTTTATATAAGCGTATGTGTGTGTACACTTCTTGTCCTATTCATCACATGTCTGTAACTTATTTTTGTGACTATAAATATTGATCAACACTTGACTGACTAGAGTTGGCTTACCTGCCATATATATATATATATATATATATATATATATATAAAGTCCATTCTCGTTGACTTATCTAATTACGTTATGGACTAACGCGATTTAAGTCGATGATTATATACGAAGATAGGCGACACATATATTTCAACAACAATCATTCATACGATCTACTTGGAGTCAGAACTCGGGCGACTAAAGTGGAGAGCGTGTCAAAATAAAGGGCCCCACATTCCCATTCAACAAGTGCATTTCGTGCTTTTGACAGCATCAGAGCATTTTCCTCTTCGTGACCGCAGTACAGTATAATCACTCCCGTATCTAGCCTTTGCTTGGGCCAAATGGGTTTCGTTGTTTCCGAATACACACATATCAAATGAGATCTGTGTGGCGCATATGTATTTGATGCCTCCTTGTACCAATATCTATGTGTTAAAATAATAATAATGATTTTAAATACTGTCAATTTGTATCTCCTTATTTCCGTTGCCATATGACTGGTCCTCCCGGTCACTCACCTTTTCCGGACGTTCCATTTGCTTAGAAAAATTGTTGCTCTGGTTTTTAGAAGGGGCATCGACCTCGTGACTTTCGTCACAACGTAGAACTTGTGCGTATGTACATTGGTTCAAATTGCCATACCCCATTTATTAAATGTTACCCATTGATTATGGTTTCAAAACCAGGTTCTCTTAATTAGGACGCTTAAATTAGAGTGAACTGTCATCTAAATCTGATTACTACTACACCTTCAATAAGGCATGAAAGTTTCTATTTTTAGGCCTTAGTTTTTCGGGCAACTTGAGCTTTCTATTTAAAGATATCAACGATAGTTTAAAGCAACTAAAATAGTATGTAGTTGAAGTTTCAAACTCTTGTTACTGTTGCAAATTCACACAAAATTCTCCATAGATTTAAATTTTTTGCTAATGAATAGATTTGCATTGTAATTAAGTTATGCTGGAAATATTTGGTCATGTTAATTTGTTCTTTTAAATGTTTAAGATTCATTGTGGAATGGTCAGAGTTTCATAACCACCTCTCATTGACTTCAAGATGTAAGAATAATACTGAAATTACAAGAAGGCTGTAATTGTTCTCATAGGTGTTGTTGCTAATTTATTGTACTTCTTGCATTTATATTTACTTAAGGCTTTGACACATTTTTTTTCATTCCTATTTTTCAAACTTAGGTGTACTTCGTAAACGTTGTGTAGCATCGTGTTTAATTCTGATTTTATATAGTGGTTGTGTTGAAAATACGTTTTGCGTTTTTCTATTATAAAGTACTCGAATTATCCGTATCTAACTACACTAGCTTCTTGGAGAACGATTTCAGCTAAAACTACTGTAGACAAAGCTTCTTGTGAAACTCCTGAGTAAAATGTCGGATATGTTTTTGTAGATTATCGAGCTGTAAGTTTAAAGACAGTGTTTCAATGTCAATTCATTTTCTACATTTCAGACTGGACTGTTGGTTCGTGCATTCAATTGCTACAAAAAAGCTATTAGAATCTTAGAGGGAAGCATCAGTGTGACTGACCGTAACTATACCGATCAAACGATGCCAGATTATCAGTTGTCGAAACCTAGCCCACGTCAGTTATTAGCTATTTGCCTATCGAACGCAGCCCATTGCCTGTTTAAATTTGGGACAACACGCACTGTCAATCTGAAGAAGTCTCAATTCGATTACCTTTCTGCATGTATTAAATGCTGTGAGCGAGCAGTCAGTCTTGAACCAAACTACATAAAGGCTTGGTTCCGTATAGCCAAAGTTAGTCTGTCGAATATATATATGCTTAATGTAGTATTGGTTAAAAAACGTATGCAAAATCATTATTGCAGGTGTCGCTTGCACATTTTACTTTCTATCGTTTGAAGAAATGAACACCTTTGGTTCTGAATATCCGGCTTTCGTTCTTTTTAGATCAGTCCTATTAGTTATTTGTATATAATAAAATTCATGTCTTTTATGTTGAAAACCAAGTGGTTGGAATCCGGGATGAGGAGTATGATGGTTTGTCTCCTGAGAAATCCGATCACATATGCTACGATCAGTAAGCCGTCATTGGATTTCTAATCACAACAAAATTATAATTAACGCAAAGTAGATAAGCTATTTCTACATGTGAAATCATTATTGATATAAATTCCAAATTACATCGGTAATGTAAGTGTTTCTGACTTAATCCTATTTCTTAATACTTGTTTGCTTTTAGGTTCATGCTTTATTAGGGAACTATGAAGAAGCGCTTACAACTGGACAAAAGTGTCTTACATGTTCTATCGATAAAAACACATATGACTCTAAATGGATTAGCGTCGATGAACGCACAAAAGTGGATATCAGCAACAAGCTAAAGAAACTGCTATCGAAATGGCGCGCTTCATTAGATAGTGAAGAAAAAATCGAAAGATCGATTATTCGGGACCGAACAATTAAAAAGTACTCATCTTATGGAGATTGGTGCGTAAGTGTCCTCACTTTATTCTCAGTTCTTAAAAAAGTTAGATTTTTAGGCTATGAAAAAAGTAATGCATTGAATTTTCCATATTCTATACTCATTGTGTAAATACACTTCCATGTTTTATGACAAGTACCTATGTATGTGATGGTTATGAAAATACAACTGATATTAAGTGCTACTGTAAAATACAACAAGGACTATTTCGGTTTAAAGATAGTTTTCAACACAGACTGACCAGGGATTCTCTAGCTAATGTCAGTTCATGATGAGTGTTATCCTCAAATTGAACTAATTTCCTAAGACCAGTTCAAATGAGCTATAGATTAAGATATAACATTGTGGAGCTGAGTGAGAATTCATAATGAAAATATATAGATCTAACTTTCTTCAAGTACTATTTCTTGCCCATTTGTTCTGTCAGTTTCATCCGTTAACTTCGTATTATTTGCTGTTATGATGTACAGTAACTTTGGTGCATATATACTTGTGTTAAGTCCCGCGTTATTGATAATTGGCGTATTAAAATTATATTAACATAGGTTTTAATTATGAATACTGTTTTGTAACATAATGACATTATTATTGATTGTTGTTTTTTAAAAGTATGATGAACTGGATGAAATAGAAAAATTGCCTATTTCAGTATGGTCGAATGATCTAGCAGAGAATATGATGTCTCTTCATGAAGAGCTTGAAGCGTTTGGAGAAAAAATGCCTGAATTTGAGGCTTGCCGAACAAGGGGTAAAGGTCGATTAACAACAATTCACGATGAAGACAGTTTCCAAGAAAATATGGCTTAAGCACCAAGTCAATTTTACGTATTTTTATTGGGGAAAAAAATTTCACATTCACACGAACTATATAATGTACATTCATAAAGTATTAATTTTGTACAGAAATAAGTAAATAAAAATATTATTACACATTTAAAAGAATTGTTTTCATAGTTTCTGACTGAGAACACGTTTAAGTTGAAATGCTGGATAAAGATTTCCCATTTTCATATAAGGTATTAAAACATCTGGGACGATAATATGCTTATCCTAATAATAAGACAAATGGAATAGTTTATTTCTCTAGTGTAAATGAAGTTAACAAATAAATTAACTCTTAGATTTGTTAATAAAAAATACTGAGAGATCGATTTATCATGTTTAGCTGATGAGTTCAGCCCAATCTGAATTTTAATGTAAGATATTAATCCAGATCAGTCTTGAACCATATAATATATGATGAACAAGTATTGGTAAGATCCAAATCCTAAATAAAGTTGATATAACTTATTTACGAAGTAAATGTTTATGTATTTTCCTTGGGTTCAGACTGTTTGTACGAAGGCTAATGATACTACTACTGAACTGCCCAAAATGATATAGGTAGAATGAGTTATGCATATTGGGACTCACTGGTTAAAAAAATGATTGCACCAAAGCAGATTGATCGTTTCTGTTTGATTTGGTCGAAAAAAAGTGTCTTATGAAATTTGACCCAACGATATTTGTTGTTGTTGCATAAATTAATAATACACAAAAATTGTGCACAATATTACTAAGTGTCGTTATGCTTAGTTAACAATTAGTGAATTCACGTACTTGAGTCTGGTGGGTCTCTATTAGGGCTTTCATTATACGTGGGATTGCACAGGCAGTTCCATTTAACTGTAAATAAAAAAAATAAAAACAGTGACAGTTAAAATCATGGATGTTATAAAAAATGCTTTTTTAGAACACAACCTTTTGTATCAATGAATTAACCTACCACTGAAACGATGTGTAGACTGATGAAATCTCAAGTTAATCATTTAACTTCAAGCATAACACTTTTGGTGTTTACAGACGATTGTATTAAAAGAATTAAATACTGCAAATGAGTTTTCCGCAGGATGCAGGTTTAAGGACTGTATTTTCATAACTTTCATCGCTGAAATATTTACCATGGCTTTCAAACATTGGGTTGCGGTGGCTCAGTGGCTAAGGTGTTTGACTTTCGGCCGTCAATTTCCGGGTTCCAGCCCCGCCCTACCTACTTCGGTTTGGGCAACCGGGTTGTATTATTAGACTTTATACTTAGAGTGTGCCTCATATTAAAGTACCTATAGAATGAGTTAACTTATATTTAGAAATTGAAAACAAGGATCCAACCAACCACATGGCCACGCGTATATAGGCTCTGCCAGGAAAGTCCTACTCATTGCCTTCTCGTAGCGGGAGTGCTTTTTCACGAAAACGACAGGACGAAAAGCGAATGTTCGACGCTTTGACCGGATCCCAAACCAATGGTGCACATGGGCCTCAGTATCCTGAGAGAACAAATGGCGTATAAACCAATCGTTGGTCACCGGCTACCATGGGACTGTATCTTCTTACGGTACTTCACTGCCTTGTGGATCAAACCTTCAGGTCGAAGGCTCCGGGTGTGATCCCCTAAGAAAACCACCTGATTCGGTTTGGGCATCCAAGCAGTATCACAGCCCTCATACATATCAAATGCGATTGTGTGGCGCATGTGTTGGGTGCCTCCTTGTACCGATATCTATGTGTTAAAATAATAATAATAAATAAGTAAATTGAAACTTGGTTATTACAACATGGTAAATAAATATGTTTTGTTTTAATGACGTCTGGGTATTTAATACTACATAAATTTTCGAACATAATTTTATAGACAATCGGAACTATTTTTAAATAGTTTTACAAATATTTATTTTAATAAACATCAAGATCAACTGATCATTTGTAACTAGGTGCTTGGAATTCGACTTAATAACATCACATGATTTGTGACAAAATCATACTTATTTTATAATGATTATCGTATTATAGTTTATTTTTTAAAGACTTTAAATTAATATATAATTCATTACCATACTTACAGAAATTCAAACGTTTATAGATGGAATATTATTAACTTTAGATAATTAATTGAACATTAACCATAATAAGTAAAATAAACTAAGCATATCATATATGTAATACAAATGCTTACCGTATAAGCAAATTCATTTTGATTACTAGATGTTTGCCATTGAATATTTAAACGTTTTGATTGATAATCGAGACAGATTGATGAACTAGAAATCTGTAAAAGATATAAAAGTCATGTGAATAAACATGCATAAAGTGGCTTATAAGTGATAGACTAAAAATATGGTAGAGAGATGCGACATTTTTTATTTATTAGACCACTCAGTAGTATGTTCAATATACGTATGACGAATTTTACGATAAATAAATATATCCTGAAAAATTTTTACAGAATTTACATAAGTTTACAATCATGGTCAGCTTGATATATACATAGCAATTTTAAAGGACCGATACATGACAGCTTTTTAAGGTGTTATAGTTCAAAAAATTGCGCAGGTAGTACTTTTTTAACAGGAATTACAGCGACGCGAAGCATCATTCAGAGGCAGTTCACACTTCGCATTCTTGGGACTGATTGTACTTTAAACTATAAATCCAGATTTAATCATTCATCAAAGCGGAGACCTAAACTATCTTTTATCTTCAATATGCAGAAATGCCTAGTTGTAATATTCGTAACTCGATCATTAGTGAGATGATCTCATTCTAAATCTGACCTCTATATCAATTGGTTTACCAGTAAATTTCGAGGCTCTGGAACAATAATTTGCTGCAGTCTCCCCATGAAATAAAATCACTCCCATTCTTTCTTCACTGTATTGATGCTTACTGCTCCTTTGAAAATTCTCGAAGTGTATTTACACATTTAAGTATATCCCATTCGACTAGTGAAAATATAGGAATGCTAGATGTTTAATCGTTATTATTAATGAGTCCATTCATTAAACTCTACCTGTAGATAACCTACATTTACACCATCCCTGGTAAATTTAACACGAACAGTAAATCATAAAACAACATGGTACACACATCTCAATAAAACTTTCATACTAATTATTGTTGTTCTGTGCCCCCAAATGCCCTGGTACGGCCGAGAGTGGGGAGAGTCCGCTCTCCCTCTCGAAATGCTCTCACATGGCCACGCGTATATAGGTTCTGCCAGGAAAGTCCTACTCATTGCCTTCTCGTGGCGGGGGTGCTTTTTCACGAAAACGACAGGACGAAAAGCGAATGTTCGACGCTTTGACCGGATCCCAAACCAATGGTACACATGGGCCTCAGTATCCTGAGAGAACAAATGGCGTATAAACCACTCGTTGGTCACCGACTACCATGGGACTGCATCTTCTTACGTTGTTTCACTGCCTTGTGGATCAAACCTTCAGGTTGAAGGCTCCGGGTGTGATCCCCTAAGAAAACCATCTGATTCGGTTTGGGCACCCGGGCAGTATCACAGTCCTCACACAAATCAATTGAGATTCGTGTGGCGCATATGTACTTGGTGCCTCCCTGTACCTATACTTATGTGTTAAAATAAAATAAAATAAAAAATTGTTGTTCTGTGCTTTCTGTTTGCATTTTATTTTCTCAAGTTGTAGATGACTATAGTCAATCTGTCATGGCACCAGAAATGACTTCAGATGCACTGTTTATACATCAACATGTCCACTTAGAAAGAATCGATGGTTCCCGAATGATACCTCGCGTCGATTTAATTCCTGTATATATATATATAAAGCGAATCTGCAAAACACATAGTTTCAAAGAGATTAATTAAATTATACTAGCTGAATGGTTTTAAAAAACATGTAGGAGATATTTGTCTTCTTCCACAACTAATTATATAATAGAACTGATGTGGCTCCGTCCTAACGCGTTCAGTTGAAGAGCCAATCATATTTTCCAGGTAGGAAGGATGATGTATGGGATCAATCATAAATCGGTCAGATGATAGATGCACGTGGCCAAGAAATGGGGATAAGATACACCAATGGTGGCTTAATTTTTGAGGGACGAACATGTGCATCTATGTGGATGAGTATACATCCGGTAGGTTTGGTTTAATCAATAAACTTCTTTTCTCTTAGTTCATCGGGTTCCTGTATTGGAAGATTACACATTTTTATCAACTCTTGGACACCACATGTCACACCAAGAAGAACCTAAGTGATAGAAGAGTAGAAAACAATGTGCTTCCATCATGAACATAATGTCATATTCGTCATTTTATTATGATCCTGAGACTACTATTGAAATGCTTTATTCATTTTCTTTTTTGAGTCCATTGTTTTATATTTCCGGTTGTCTCAAATTATTTATTTAATGCTATTCTTTTATATGAAATACCTCAATTAATGAATATCTAATCCGATTGTTTGCAATGAATTGCGTAAGTAAATCACACTTCTTCAGGTTATTTCCGTTTTTTTAGTCACACTATCCATTATCGATCGACTGAATCCACTGAAAACTGAGGATTTCTGTCACCTTTATAATATATGATTTACTGTTCACTGACTGAATATTAGGCGTTTAACAACACTGAAAAGTAATCGTTTCATGTTCTAGAAATTCCATGTAATTATTAACTCACCTCTCCGTATATTTGATCTCCTGGCATCCAGGCTTCAATATCAACTTTTCTGTAAGCTGAATCACCAAGCTCTTCCGATGGCATTTCAAGAACTCTGGATTCATAAAGACATACATCAAAATTAATAAATATTTTAAGAATAAAAAGCTAGTTGATGCTTATTTAAATGTTTTGTGTGTATATGAGAAACTTATAATCCGACAAACTTACCCATAAATATTACCAGAATGATATTTTTTAACCGAAGTGTTTAAATATGTACACAGAAATACCTTAACGTCATTTTCAACAGCAATTTGTTAAGCAGTTGGAATAGTGTTTATTTTATTGGAATTCAATA